CCTGCCCCCCCCCCCCCCCCCAAGTCCAGGCAATGCTAGATAAGTCCTTTAGTATCCTTGTACTCTAACAGGGCCTGAATTTGCTTCCATTTAAGCCAGTAAGATTTTTCACTGAATTCAACAGGAAAAGGCCCATATTCTGCCAAAATTTTAGACAAATCTATTGCAGAACTTGACACTTTTTGGTATGAATAATAATAGACTACTTACCATCATTTTCAAAATCCCCAAACTGTGAATAATCAACAATTTTCTTATTTCTGTGACAAAACAGCATATGTTATTATTCATTCAACACAAACATAATTACTTGCTAATTTTAGTTTCTCGGCATTGTACAAATTCCCTTTTCAAATCAGCCTCTATTCATATACATAGCCACTGCTATCATATAAACTGTAAACTCAATTCATCATACTTTAGTGTCCTGCTACTCAAGTGTTTTGTCTGTAAATGGCTCTTCATTGCTAACTTGATTTATTTCTTATATGTTCACAATATCTCTCTATATTTTTTTCTAAAATATTTATTTTATAAATCATATCAGTGCCTTGTATACTCATTTGAGATGTTTTCTCCTTGGTACTTTTAGATTTTGTTTCCTAAACTAAATTTTAAGATAACAATACAAATATTATCCTATGTATCATCAAAACATCCAGCACATTATTTAGGATGCTGATCCTGTAACAAGTTTCATGCTAACCAACCCAAGCCCACATGTAGATCTGTTAACTTCAACAGAATTTCTGATAAGAGCAGGGATCTGTCTGCCTGCACAGAGCTTATAGCAGGATTGGGGCCTAAGATCTGATCCATAGTATATTTATACACTAGTGACTCAGACCTACATATACTGTGCACATTCAACTTCATTATGAGTGAGGAAAAAGAAATTACAGCATTTCAGAAGAGCAATGTTAAAAATATAGACAAGAAATAACAATACAGGACAATACATCTGGAAAAAATAATCAAACACAAATATTCAGTGAAAGGGGAACACTGATCCTACAATGACTTCTACACAGATACATTGATTTGTCCATGCAGGGCTCCCTGAAAGGCTGTCAAAAATGGAATACAGGCAGTCCCCGGGTTACGTACAAGATAGGGACTGTAGGTTTGTTCTTAAGTTGAATTTGTACGTAAATCGGAACTGGCGTCCTGATTCAGCCGCTGCTGAAACTGACCAGCGGCTGACTACAGGAAGCCAGAGGCAGAGTTTCTCCGCCCTGGGCTTCCTGTAATCAG